GGTCCCTTCTGAGGGCACATTCCCCTTATCTGCAGCATGGTGCCTTGTTTCCTCTTGACCCTCATGCTCCCTGACAGCAGTGGAGCTGCCATATTCAGAGTGGGACATATCTAACAAGTCCCTGAGAGTCTTCTCCATACGCCTAACTGATTGTCTCTGCTTCTCCAGGTCAGCCACCTTGGCCTCAAGGGAGCAAACCCGTTCCCTGAGAACCAGGAGCTCCTTGCACCGGGCACACACCCAAGACTTCTGTCCAGTGGGCAGATAGTCATACATGTGACACTCCATGCAAAACACTGGATAGCCCCCAACCCCCTGCTGGCATTCTGGCTTCATAATTGCTTTTAAAATAATATTTATATATAATTCCCCCTTTAAAACCCTTTGTATTTATGTGGTTCTCCTTGTAAAAGTCTACTTACCTTACTGGGAACCCAAGGAAACTAGGGCCCTGGCTTTCTGGCTCTTCCTGGGCTTCCTACAGAGCCCCTAGTCTAAGAGTCCCTAGGCTAAGAGCCACAGGCCAAGAGCCCTTTGGCTCATGCCAGAGGCTTGTGCCTCTGGCGAGGTGCTGCCTTAAATAGAAGCCTCCCCCAGCAGAGGGCGTGGCCAGCAGCTATTCATATTCACCCAAGCACTCAATTACAGTCAAACAATGCCCCTTTCTCACCCTATCTCAAGCAGCCAGGACTCTGCAACAACTCACCCACACACTCCCAGACACAGTCCCCTCAACTAAATCACTGCAGCTGAAAGCAAATTAAAAACACTCACCCCTCTAGCAGCTCTGTTTCCTGCTACTTCCCAGAGCTCAGCTGGATCTTCCCTTACAGAACCCATGCTGAGTCTGCCTCACTAGATACTAGTATAGCCCACAGTGAATGAAAATCAAAGGGAGAGTTCTGTATGTTTGTGTGCAAACTTGAAGCCTTGTCAGCATGCCACAGAATATCTTTATTTTAATAATAGTAACTTGTACAACATGGTTTGAAAATTTCTCAGTTATAATTTTGCTTGTAGCTGATAGTAGAAGACTCAAATAACAAGACTGCTGTAAGGTCCTAATGCAGTCTAATTTCAAGAACCAGAAGTTGTGGCTTCAGGTGCTAGGATGTATATGTATATTATGCTGCCCTAACTCTTAAACCAGTGGTTCATTCTGCCCTCTTAATTATTTGTCTGCTTTGCCTCTTCAATATTTTTAAAAAATCAAAGTTCTGCAGGGGATATATACATGTAAATAGATGTTATACCCTGAACAAATACATACTTTCACTTCAGAAGTCATTTTTAATGAGTTAGATCTGGGTTCTGCTATTCTCAGAACAGTAAATAAATAATAAAAAAAGACCACAGTTGCCTGATTCACTTCAGGGCTATAGTGTGGTGGGAGAAGGCTTTTTTCCCTGCACCATTTTCCCTGGTTGACGTGGCCCAGAGAGAATTGTCATATCATGGAGCGGTATGTGACGTATTCCCAACTTCTTACACCTTTTTGAACCTATAATTTGGTGGTCAGTTGGAAAATGTTTTTCACAAAATCTCCTTCCCTAGGATGTTTTGGTTTATCATATGACATTCGACCAGAAATGTGACACTCAAAGTTTGTCCCATTTTTTGATTGAGTTGTTCTTAATGTTTTCTTGCTTTCCTTTTAAAAAAGCTTTATAAGCATAGGTATGCTGCTCTACCAGTTGCCGTTATGATTGATTAAGGTTGACATGGATTGTTCTGGTAGGTGGGGCAGCATGCCAAATGCTAGTTGACTTCAAAGGTTAGAATTTGGCTAGAGTAGTGAGTTGCCCATCCTTTGTTTACCCAGTAATGCCTGTCTTTGTTTTTAAATATTTACTTAAGCTTATTGAGCTGAAGGATCATGCTGTTTCTTGAATTCATCATTCACTGTAGAGTTGTGGAAGTTTTATAGGGAGAAAATGTGTGCCAAATTATTAAAAGCCTGGCTCATTTCTTGAGATGTTTGAACAACTTCTATTGGAACTGTAATGGATGTTCTGGCTCAGCTTTCATTTGCAGAATATAATGCATTGGCCTTGTAGAACATTAATTCTGGGAAGGAACCATTGTGACTAACAGATTAAAGCAAGTTGGCCGCAACTATGTGAAGCTATAATAATATTTGGGCTACTTCACGCTAGACAGTGTTTGCCCTGACATCTAAGAGCTGGTGGACATATTCACTCAAGGCTACCAGGGGACACTGGGAGGACAAAAATCTTGGGCCCAAGTCAGCTGGAGGGCCCCTGAAGCTGGTGTCATGCTCCATTCAGAATGCATCTTGGTTTATTTTATTTCTAATGCAGTTCTGCACTGCAGCCTCTAGGGGTGCAGGGAAAGCAGAGCACAGTAAACTGTAGTAGCTCTGCTTTCTGCTTGCCATGCCCTTTTGCTTTACTACAGGTAGGCAAACACTTGCATATCCTGATAAAACCATCAACCGGGTCAACACTGGAGCAAGGAAGTCCAGCCAGGATGCAGCCTCCTAGCAAGGTTGTTCTTTCCAGCAGTCTGTTTCCCTCTTCCACCCGGCTCCATGGTTTTGTCTGCTCAGTCAGATCTTCCCTGTTAGTGTGTCTTTTCTTAATCTCTCTCTCTCTCTCTCTCTCTCTTTCCCACAATATATCCTCCTTAATTTTGCTCTTCCTTTCATGATATGCCTTCATTTTTCTCTCCCCACTTCTAATCTCCCCCCCTTTTATTTGTCAGTCTTGGTCTCAGCTCCTCATCCCTGATTGATAGCAGTATAGCAACAGACCATTGTTAATATTATGAACAGAAGGGGGCAGTTAATATTTACCCATCATCTATCAAAGTAGTAAAAGGATGCTCCACCCCCTTTACATGCATGGTAATGAAATGCTAATCTGTTTTAGCAGTTCAACAGAAGTTAGAACTTCCCCTCCCCCGCTAGATTTAATGACATTTTAAACACTGTTCAGGTAGTGTACTGGTGGGACGTCTAATGTCCCTTTGTAAATGCTACTTTGCTACTGTAGACATTAAGAGTGTTATATGGCCAATGACATAATCTTTTTAGAACCTATGCCAGCAAATTCAGTCCCAGTACTTCTCATGCAGCACCACTACAGAATCAAGTTGCTCCTGCTTTTGTGCTAGGTAAATGTACAAGGGTAAACTTAAACTGATTTTTCACTGATTTACTTACTAAAGACTTATTGTGATATGAAGTTTCTGTGAACTATAGTCCACTTCATCAGATGTAAGAAATGTGCCCAGTATTGGTACACATACAAAATTACATATATGGTTTGGAATCAAAGTGGGTGGGCAGTAGAGTCATCCAGGGGCCAATGGTGACTCTCAACAACCCTGTGTTAACATTACATGCCTGCCTTGAGGTATCATGGCACCAAACTGTTGAGAGCCTTGAAGGTTAGACAACAATTGCAGATCTTTCAGAATCAGAGTTATAACTGCCACCAGGAGCAGGCCATATTGGATGCCTTGGAGCTACATTTTGCTGATGTTCATTTACCAAAATTTTTACAAAGGCACTGGTGTGGAGGTACAAGTAGAGTCATCCAGGGGCCAATGGTGACTCTCAACAACCCTGTGTTAACATTACATGCCTGCCTTGAGGTATCATGGCACCAAACTGTTGAGAGCCTTGAAGGTTAGACAACAATTGCAGATCTTTCAGAATCAGAGTTATAACTGCCACCAGGAGCAGGCCATATTGGATGCCTTGGAGCTACATTTTGCTGATGTTCATTTACCAAAATTTTTACAAAGGCACTGGTGTGGAGGTACAGAAGAGAACAGAAGAGAAGCCAATGTTGCATCAAGCCAATGGACCATCCAGTCCAACACTCTGTTACACAGTGGCCAAAAATACCAGGTGCCATCAGGAGGTCCACCACTGGGGCCAGGACACTAGAAGCCCTCCCACAGTTATCATGTCATCCCCTCAGTCAGTCAACCTCATAAAGACAGTGTTACTAATGCCACAGTTTGCAGGAAGCTACATTCACAGTCACCATCAGCTAGAAGAGATACATTAACCTCCATCCCTGCAGTGAGGCCTGCACCTCAGGGAGCCTTGCAATTTACCCTGTTTTTCGGACGGTGGTTGTTTCAGAGTGGGAATGAACTGCCGACCAAAGCTCCACCAGGCAACTATCTTGCCCACATTCCTGAAACATGGGGGTCAGTGCCATATTGGTGGAACCGTGCTCAGAAGAGCCACAGTCAAAGAGATGCATGTTGGTTCCTGAGCCACTGAGTGCATGATCTTGTGAACCTCGATCATGTCATCCCCTCAGTCAGTCAACCTCATAAAGACAGTGTTACTAATGCCACAGTTTGCAGGAAGCTACATTCACAGTCACCATCAGCTAGAAGAGATACATTAACCTCCATCCCTGCGGTGAGGCCTGCACCTCAGTGAGCCTTGCAATTTACCCTGTTTTTCGGATGGTGGTTGTTTCAGAGTGGGAATGAACTGCCGACCAAAGCTCCACCAGGCAACTGTCTTGCCCACATTCCTGAAACATATTGGTGGAACCGTGCTCAGAAGAGCCACAGTCAAAGAGATGCATGTGGCTCCTGAGCCACTGAGTATCATTATCCCAAGGGAAGGCAGTGCAATATACCATGGCAGACAGATGCTTAATCTCTAGGAAAGGGCACTAGCAAAACAGTGAATGGATTCAAGTAACTTGTCCAAATGATTCAGTGGAATAGGTCAATTTAGAAGTAATTGGTGTACTATAGTATTTTGTGCTGATACCGTACTCTTGACAGCAGTATGCTGTTTATTTTAGAGGTGATTATTAGGGTGAAGAACAGTGACTGTGGAACAGCTATGGGAGTAGTGCCTAATTAATTTTCTCACTCCCTTCCTGCTCATCACTGTACATTTATTTTTGCAAGTGTTTCTGAAAAGGGACATATTCTATATGTCTTCATAGTTCCTACATTATTAAATACTTTGACTTTAGAGCAAAGGAGGGAGATGGTAGAAGCATGGAGACTTGGGCTGTTCAGTGCATGAAATATCACACTACACTTCTAAATATGCTTGTGTCTTTCTATAACCTATCACTGTTTTATCACCTGGTGTGTTCAGATTACTGTCTTGTTTCTTTTTCTTCAATCAAGTTCTCATTCTTTCCATTATGTACTTCTTCCCCCCCCCCTCTTTCTTTGCTGGTCAGATGACTGTAGGGAAGGTTTCACGCGGAATAGGTGCTGTGGCAGAAGTTCTTGTCAATCTGTACATGAACGATCATAGGCCCAAACCTCTGTCTGTCTCTTTACAAATGGTAAGGCTTAATCCTCAATTAATGGAATAAGCGTGCTAAATTTAAGAGCGGCCTTTTGGGGAATTCTGTTGCAGCTAGTGGCTTTTAAGGTATATGAGGTTAAGAGCCTGGATCAGTTTTTAACTCTCTGCTTGATTTTGGCTGCATTTAGGACTCTTGTAAAGACATGTATATTTCTAAAAATCAGCTTGTAGTGCTGTGCAAAACTAAAAGGAATGAGCCGCCCTAAGCATGTTTAAGCCCACCGTACAACAGGTCAAGGACCTTCCTGAATACTAGCCAGTGTCCATATACTTTACAGTGGTAGTTTATCTCAAGACATAGCTGTGCAGATTAATTGTATGTTTCATTGGAATTAAGTCTTTTTTTTTTTAATTCTGTTAATGTTGTGTTGACTTCAGAACCAACCAGTGGATGAAGCTGCTGCAGCTGCTACTTCTTCTCCTGATTCTTCTTCTGCTTCTCAAGTTTTTCCTTCCTTTGATCAGAGCTGTCAGGTATTAAGCTACAAGGAGAAAGATGCCGGGGTGGTCTGTGATCACCATGGCAAGGCATTTTGTTCATGATTAAAATTGCTAAATGGTGTGCCCTCTGTGTACACAATATGGCAAATATGAGTCATCTCTCATTTCACGTCTGACCCAGGACTCACCTTAAGAACCGTGTTCATGGAACCAAATCATCTCTAGAGCACAAGACAGCAGCAGGAGGGGCTTCAGCCTTCTCTCCCTTCCATGCCATACGGCTTTCATCAGAAAAAAAAAATGGCTGCGGGGGGGGGGGCGGTTTGTCTTGCTGCTGGTTCCTCACCTCTGCCCAGGGGATGCTGCTGCTGTGCTCCACAACTGATTTGACACACAGGTTGGGGATTCTCTGACTTCGCATATTGTGTAAGGAGACCCTAATTAATACAAGATGTTGTTAATTTATTTATTTAGATATGTAAACCCCACCTTTGACTCCAATGGGGACCCAAAGCAGCTTACATAATACTCCCCTCCTGCATTTTTCCTTGTCATAGCAACAGCCCTGTAGAGTAGATTGGACTCGCAAAGTGACTGGTCCAAAGTCACCCAGCAAGCTTCCATGGGATATACCATGGTGACCTTGCTGATATATCCAAAATATGCTGTACTCCTCTACAGTTTATGCTGATTGACATTATTCAGAAAAGTACTTATTCCACATCATAGCTGTGGCTTTCATAGAAGCTCACAACATATTTTAAATTACATCAACAAAGAATGAGAAAATAAAAATACTGATGAACATGGCACCAACAAACCAGCATCAAAATTACTATATTACTGACCTTTAAAATCTTCGTTGGATGTACTAGGTTCCAGATCCCTTTGTAATCTCTGCAGTTTTAATGGTCAATTCTTTTTTTAATTATTATATTTATACCCCGCCCTCCCCGCGAACGGGCTCAGAGCGGCTTATATAAGGCACAAAGTGCATACAATATATAAAAGCTAAAACAATTAAAATTCAGTTCCATCAGATGCACAAATAGAAAACTCCTGACATTTTGTATAACAGGAGGGGAGGGCTAGGGCCACAAACAGATATTACCCGGCCCTCCGGCAGTATCGCTCTATAGTGGAGCGGTGGTGGCAGTGGCGGCTCCTACTCAAAAGCCTGGCAGAAGAGCTCCGTCTTGCAGGCCCTGCGGAACTGCATAAGGTCCCGCAGGGACCTGATCTCCTCCGGGAGCTCGTTCCACCAGATAGGAGCCGCCACTGAAAAGGACCTGTCCCTCGTTTTTAATACATACATGGTTGTTAGTGAGCTTGAGTTTGTGTCCACTTATATTTTATACATATAAAATGATTTTAGCATATATTTTTAATCGTAAACTTTGAAACAACATCAATGACCTAAAAGTATGATTTGTGAAATAGATCTTGATAAAGCCATTATTGTTGCTTTGGACAGCTGCTTTTTGGATATAATCTCACTACATTCTGTCATTGCATGTCTTAGAGAAATTTTTCTTTTTCACTTCCATATTTTTTCTTCTCTGCTTGCATTTTACTGTAATAGATCACAGATGCTACTGTATTAGTGAAAAGAAAATTTGTATTGTTTTTATGCTCTTTAAAGTGTACCACTTGCAGTTACTGAAAATGTCATGTAGTTACATGGATATAAGCTTGGATGGGAAAGTGAGTGGTGAACTGCAGAGAACTTAACATGTAGTTAAATGTTAGAAGGTAAACTTTGACATTGTTTATGTGAAATATAGAAACCACAATGTAATCAGTACTTCTCACTTTCGATAAATTCCAGACCTATTGAAATCAGTAGGATCTTTTTCTAAGATAGCAGTAAAAAAATTATTTAAGTAAATGTTGAAAGGTTCCAAATCTGATGAACCTCAGTAGGCAACTGGTTCTACTTTGGAGGTATACTGAGAAAACTCTCTCTATAGTAGCAAAATTTTAACTGTCAAAAGATTATCTCTATCTAAATCCTAATGTGAAAAGATACATATGAAAGAAGCTATTCTGCTATGGTCAGGCCTCACCTGGAGTACTGTGTCCAGTTCTGGGCACCACATTTTGCGAAGGATGTTGACAAGCTCGAGCGTGTCCAGAAGAGGGTAACCAGGATGGTGAGAGGGTTAGAATCCAAGTCTTATGAGGAAAGGCTGAAAGAGTTGGGTATGTTTAGCCTGGGAAAGAGAAGGCTTAGAGGGAACATGATTGCAGTCTTCAAGTATTTGAAGGGCTGTCATGTAGAAGACGGAGCAGATCTATTCTCTCTTGCTCTGAATTGCAAAACTAGATCTAATGGGTGGAAATTACAAGGGAGTCATTACTGGCTAAATGTCAGGAGAAACTTCCTAACTGTAAGAGTGGTTGAGCAGTGGAACAGTCTGCCTCGGGAGGTGGTGAATGCTCCTTCGCTGGATGTTTTCAAGCGGAGGCTGGACGACCATCTTTCGGGTATGTTGTAGGTATGTAGGGCTATCTTTTGGCTATGCTCCTGCAGAGTGCAGGGGGCTGGACGAGATGACCTGCAAGGTCCCTTCCAACTCTAACATTCTATGATACTCCCGCAGGTATCTTAGGCCTAAACTATAAATGGCTTTAAGGATAAGAATCAGCATCTTGACTTTAGCCTGAGAACAAAGTGGTTAAACTCGCAAAGTTCTGTTGTGATTCCAGAAATCACACCAGCTTCTACATTCTGGACAATCTTCCAAACATTCAAGTGCTGACCCTCATGTAGAGCATCTTATAGCAGAACAGAGGACATATCAGGAAATGCACTGTGGTGGCCAGATCTTTTATTTATGATTCATAAAGCAGAATGCTTCAAAAAGCATTTCCATCAGTTATGTCTGCTGTGTTAGTACTAATTTCCTATGGATGTTTAGGGCTTTTTTGTTCTTGTTTACATCCCTATGAAATAGGCTAGACTGAAAGAGAATAATTTATCAGTGGCCTGAGCTTCCTAGGCGTCCAATATCCAAATCTACTACATTACTCATGGTGTTGCAGGACTATGCATCTTTTAAGCCATCAGATGCTGCCTGTTTGCCATGTACTGAGGTGTGCCAGATGCTTTATGACCTTCCTTTTGCAGTTCCGAATGAGTAATGAAAGAAGGATGTCCCCTGGTGAGCAACTCTTAGCTTGTTTGTGAAGGCCTATATTATATTAGCATGCAGTGCGGTGTAGTACTGTGGCGATGTGTTATGTAACCCTAATATTGCACTGACTGGTCCAGACGTGGCCACCTTGTAAGTATATCTCTTTTTTAAAAAATAGTGGGGTATTTAGTCAAGCAGTTTCATATGCTATAGCTTTAGAATATCACATATATGCACATTTTATTTACAGAGTTCTCTGAAGAAAGAATTTCCCCAATCAATGGGTGGGAGTGACATCTGCTGTTTCTGCAAGAAAAGAGTATATGTCATGGAGCGGCTGAGTGCAGAAGGCCACTTTTTCCACAGAGAATGTTTCAAGTGTGCCACATGTGCGTCTACTCTCCGCCTGGCGATGTATGCCTTCGATGCAGAAGAAGGTAATGAAGTAATGAACATTTATATTTAGAAAAATATTACAGCTGCCAGTATGGGAGAGGCCTATTTTGATCATTTCGATAGGAAGAACTCATTGTATGCATTTGCCACTTCCCATCCATACATCATTCTAATCAGGGGTCATTTTGTAGAAAAAGAGGTGCAGGAGCTCATTAGCATAACTTATTTGCATATGCCACACCCCCTGACATCACCGGAAGTGTGTCAGAAGGCAACACCCACTTCAACTTACCTGGTCTTGCTCCTCGTGGCCTGGGGCTGCTGGGAGCAGGGGGTGGGGCTTGTTGCATGTGCCCGCCCCCTGGACTCTTTACTGCCGGAGCTCCGCTCTTGTGCGCTCCTGCAGGAAATGACCCCTGATTCTAATTTTAAAAAATGCAATAGCAGATCTATCTTGCATTTGAGAGAGGACCAAAAAACCCTAGCATTTTAGAAATGATAGGATTTGGGTACGGGACTGTTTCCTCTAGAAGCCAAGTGGGAAAAGTAGAACTTCAAGTTAATTTAAATTGCAAACTTTCAAAAATAAATGATTAAGCTCATTGCTTTGCTCCATTAGCACTGCTTAGTTTGCACGGTGGAGAACTACTACTTTCCTTCATTATACAGAGAATATACAGTGTGAAGTATATACCCCCTCCAGCAAGTTGTCCAGCATATGGATCTGGTTTACAGGTTTCTTCCCCTCAAACAACCAAAAAAGGTGGGGGAAGGGAGGCGCTCACATGAACCAGGTCATCACACTGTTTCACCATGCAAACTGGTGGCTCTGGGAAGCATGAGAGCCAAGAGAAAAAAATTCAAAGTACTTCAGTGTAGCAATTTATCCTGTGTGTTCTATGTAGTATGAATATACCCTGTCTTTGAGATAAGCAGGTTTTAAGTTGCAGTTCTTGATTAAGGAAAAAATGACAATGGGGAGAAGGTAACCTGTGGTGTTGCAGCATAGGGCCAAGGTAGGCAGGGCACAGGAAGTCCTTGGTGGTGATCTTCTGTGGGTTTTTAAGGTTGTTTTTTTAAAAAAAAATACATCAAAGTACCAGAGAGGAAGGGAAAGCAAACTGGGTCCAGAAAATGGCACAATGGGAATGGGAGTTTAATAGGTTTCCTGATTTAATTAATGTCCTGCCCCCAAAACAGCCAATTTGCCTCATGGAGGAAACATTCAGGTACCTGTATTTCTTGGGCAACCTGTATCTCTTTCTCGTGTAGTGAAATAGCTACACCCTCCTCTGCATCATAGTCTCCGCTGAATTTGGCCCTCCTGCAGCTGCTTTACTCTTCTTTTTAAAACCAATGAAGAACCTCATCTTGTATACTCTGCATCATGTCCAGTTAGGCTGTTAGTGGTGATACAAGAAGACAGAAGGAAGATAGCAAAGTACACTTAAAAAGTGCATCACTGAAGAATAAATTTGTTGGCCTTGGGTATGCACTGAACCTTTTGGATTCCACCACTATATTTTCAAGAACCCAGTTTTTTCCCCAGTCAGTTATAATTTGATTTCATTTTGAGAAAAGTGAAGAATACGATTACTTGTGTTTTTCAGATAAATTTTACTGCAAGTCTCACTTTGCACAATGCAAAACAAATAATAAACACAGGAAGAGGAGAGCTATGTTAAAGACTCATGAAAAGGTATGTATGGTATTACAAAACATGTAAATTCCACTGATATCCAAAAGCTGGAATTGGTTGTAAAAGGTTAAGTAAATTTTTATGCCACCTTATTAGAAGTAATCCTGTTGACTTATGAATACTACTAAACTCAAGGAATGGTGTGACTAGCCCCCAACCCCAAGGAAATGAAAATCTGTTTGCCAAGGGAATGTGTATTCAGTATGAGGCCCATTACGGACATTTACTTACAACCTTTAACCCACTGCTCTGTCATATTTTACTGCCTTAAAAGGTACAATTTATAGTGTACTGTGTGTGTAAAGATGAATTGCCAGGTATAAAATAATATTGGGGTTGCTATTCTTGAATCTACAAAGTAAAGATGACATTTTGATGGGTTTATCATTTTCAATAGGTCTATTTTCCAATATATTGTCCACATAGACAGCCTTCTGTTCTTTCTTTAAGAATCTTTTGAGTTTCAAGGATGCAAATGCTACATGCTTGAGGAGCCAGAAAGGAGAATTTTAAGAATGTGTGTAGATATAAGTATTTTTATTATTTACTGTCTGTTTGCACATACATCCTAAGGGAAGTACCAGACACAAACTTTTAAAAGATTAAACGACTCACAGTAAAAAACAAATCGCTGTAGCATCTGAAACCAGTGCAAGGAAAAACATAAGAGGTAACATAGGGGGATCATAAAAACGAAGCCATACAAAAGTAAGAAAATGAATTTCCTTCCGCTCCTATTCACAAAATCAACAAAAAAGCCTGGAGGGAAAAAGAAATATTGCCCCAATTCTTCAGAACCAGTGTAGGTACAGGATGCTACAACAGCAGACTCGCAGAAAAAAGGGGATAACTTCGTCTCTATAGCATATTTCTATAGTTTATCATAGTTGGCAGGCAGATTCATGTGAGAAATAGTGGTCCTTTATGTACTGTGGTCCCAAACTGTTACGGGCTTGGTAGGTAATAATGAACAACTTGAATTGTGCCCAGAAGCTAAACAGCAACCAGCATATGTCTACATATGACAGATCAGTGCACTGAGGAGTTCCCTGTTTGTCCCATCTTGGCTCCTCTTCTGTTGTTGTAACTTTAAAATCCTTTCAGGGTTTTTTTAAAGTCATGGGAAAGAAACATAACTCTGCATCACATGTAGTTTGGTCCTAAAATTATCCTCTCTATTGAAATGAATGGAAATAGCACAAACAGTATCTTGGTGCTTGTTCAGGGGATATTCCAGGTGAATCCTTTCAGGGTGTGTCTCAAGGCCAAACTACATGTTAGTATTTTTAAACAGTTGGGTCCAGGTTTCTAGGACCCAACTCAGGTTTTCTGCAGCCATACAGTAGCTGCGGGGGATGGCTTCTAAACAAAAAGAGCCCAAATGGGCTCGGGATGGTGCTGTGAAGGGAGGAAGGGCTCCTGCCTCTCCCGCCCCCCAGGCTATTTTCCCACATGAAAACCATGTTGGGGGTCTGTTTTCCTGATTTTGTTGCTCCACGTGCACTATCTGTGCCCATGGAGCAACAGAATCAGGGAAATAACTCCTCCCAGCATGGGAAAATGGCAGCACGATTCTGAGCCCATTTGGATTCTCTCTCTCTCTTTTTTTTTAAAGAAGCCATTTTGTGTGGGTAACCCAAGCTCAGTCTGGGGAACCCAGACACTACTCTTTGAAAACAGCAATATGTACTTTGGCCCCCTGTTGCATAGGAGTGGGTCTGTAGAGGGAGTATCTGCTTTGCATCCAAGAAGGGCATAGGTTCAGTCCTTGGCATCTTGAGTTAAAGGGATCGGATGGCAGGTGATGTGAAAGACCTCCTCCTGATAATCTGCAACAACTTGGAGAACATCTGGTTTTCAGAAAAGACAGTGCTGAAACTTGATAAACCAATGATCTGACCAAGTATTAGGCAGTGGCACATGAATATATCCTTAGGCCAAATAGTTAAAAATAGGAAAACTCCAATCAAATGAGCTAAAATTAAAGTTCAATAAAATGTGTTACTAGAAATTTAAGATTAAATGGCAGCCTAAAATTAAACTAAAAAGCTAATTGGTGGGATGCTTAGCAGCAGTTAAAATACACAAGGAACAGCAGATGTTGGTTATAAGCAGAAATATATATGAGCCCACAAATATTAACAGAAAACAAATACCTGGACAAAAACATAATGTTTAGCCTCGTGCTGAAAGGTCAACAGATTTGGTTGCACGGTGAACACTGCCTGAATAAGACACAGCAGTGGAAAATATCTTGTCCTTAGTGGCCCCTCACCTCAAAGGTTTTTATTGTCAGCCAATCTCACGTGTGAGTGAAACAAGTATGTGAAATTAATAAATTCTTTGGTTTAGTTATTTAAATATAATTTATCTGTTGCACTTTATAAAAAGTTTCTGGTGCCAAATACAATGCACAGTGGCTTGTATCTAACAAGATCTGCTTGCAAAACTGACCTTGTAGATTTCCACTTTCCTCTCCCTCTAACATCCCAGTCCTTCTCAACTGGAAATATGGTTCCTGGGGATCAGTGGACCTTTGTGAGCATCATAGGAGGCAAAGCATGAATCTGCAGCAGGAGGGGTAAATTAACAACAATTGCCCTCTCCGTGCCTGAGAGAGAATTGTCCTTCGATCTTCTGAACTGAGTGGTTGGCACAAGTCACTAAAAACAATACAGACAGCATAAAAACTCCACTGTCACAAGCATAAAGTGGTACAGTGCCACTCCAGAGATCCCTCCCTTGGCCGAGGTCAGAGGAATTGGGGCAGGCTTCTCCCCAGCCAGCAGAAATAAGACACCAGACAGCCCAGCTGAGTGGACCCTGCATGTGAGGGTGGGGTGGAGGAAGAGTTTAAGGGTCCATCTTTGCCCTGCCACCTCTTTGGTGCTAGGTAGAGACAGCAGCTGCGCAATAAACCCTGATAATATTGAGTTGGGATTAAAAAAACAACACAGAAAACAGCATGGAACGGCATGATAACAGCCTGTGTTGGATTGCAGGGAAAGCAGCTTTTAAAACGCTGCTTGTTTCAGAGAAGCTGGGATATGAGGAGTTAATCTTCCCTGGAGTGAAGAGCTTATTTGATTGGCTGCTCTACACATTCTCTGATTGGCCAGCATCACCTGAGAGACAGTATACCATCAGCTGTTTTTTGGGGGGGGGAGTCAGTCTGCCAGCAGTCGTCTGGTGTCTTAAAACAGTTGTCTATAACAGGAGTCAATTTTCTAACAGGGTTAGTCAGAAAAGGTCCCTTTATAGAGAGAGGAGAAGCTACTCCTTTGCCCTATCAGTATTTGATCTACTCTGCACGGGAATGGTTATTCTAGTCCAGGAAGTTAAGAAAACTGTTTTACTCAGACAATATTACTGGAAAATAGATTTGGCAAGAGTTGACTGGGCCAGTTAGGTTGAAAGTCCCAATCAAGCCAAATAGGAAGAGTTATTATTACTTCATAGGAAAAAGAAGAAGAATTCCTACAGTGAATATGGGTTGCTCTAAGGGGAACCTGGGTCTGTAGTAGAGAGATTAGACTTTGGACATCTCAAGAGATAGTAGAAGGTCGTAATATCTGAAGGGAGAAACCAGTCGTAATATCTGAAGGGAGAAACCAGATTTCTAAGGGGAGAAATCTAGAATCTTTAAGCAAGAACTGAACTTGCAAAGAAACATTATTAAGAGCCAGTGTTTGTGCTGGACTGTACTAAGAAAAGTACCTTTCACTGATAAGAATGGGAAAATCTTGTAACTAAACTACAAATACACTCTCTTGTATGATTTGAAGATTCTGTCAATAGCAGGGGTCATTTCGTAGAAAAAGAGCTAGGGGAACTCATTAGCATAACTCATTAGCATATGCCACACCCCCTGACATCAGGGGCCCGGCGGTGGACCTGCAAGGCCAGTGGGAGTGCGAGGAAGCCCCGCCAAGGCCCTCCCTGGCCCCAGGCAGGCAGGGGTGGGGAGAGGCGGGGAGGAAGCAACTTACCCTCCCTCTTCTCCTGCCTCCTCCTGGCTGAATGAGGGCTGGAAGCGGGGCGGCCGGAAGCAGGGGGCGGGGCTTCGTCATGTGCTCCGCCCCCCTGCACCTCACCCGGGGGAACTATGTTCCCCCGCATTCCCCCCCCGAAATGGCCTCTGGTCAATAGTATAACATTTTACCTCAGAACTTATATACTTTGACTATCATCTATCGTCTATTTGTCTTCCCTACCTATTCAATAAAATCTTAATTCTTGTTTTGAAAGTTAATTTTGCCTCATGTGCCATTTCACGGGGGTATATTTTTGGTGGGAAAATCTGCCTGGGAGTGGGGAAGCATCAGGGGTCTGTTATCCAGCCATTGTACTTTCCTTTGTTTTTCAAGAATCTTGTAAAGGTATGTCCTTAGGCTTGAAGTTGTGGCGCTAGGTATGATGTTTAAATATTTCCCTTTAAAGGCGGAAGTGGAATTGTGGAGGGAAGAGGAGCCCACGTCTGCGAAAACCACCACAGAATGTACTTTTGCTGCCAAAAGCAACCCAGAGGCCCAACCACCAGGTATCCTGACTTCATTCTTTCGGAAAGCTCTAAGCTGGCCTCTTAAGGTGACAAGGGATCTGCTTGACCTTCCGAGACGCCTCTCTAACTGGATGCATGGTTTTCTGCACTCTACCAGTCTTCATTTCAGGGACAATGCATACAACTATACCTACTTGTATGAACTCCTAACCTTCGGTGTGCCATTCCTATGTGCACTTCAAGAGTTGCTTGCCCATATTTACCGGGATGTGGAGCTATCTTGTGAAAATGTCCTTGAACTGGTGAAAAAGTTCTTAAGGATTTGAATTTTTTTTCCTGAAGCTTTGTTGTGCCTTTCAGATTTCCAAAACAAGCAGCCCTTCTGATTATACTTGCACATTACAATTCAGTAGGTGTTTCTAATGAGCCAAGAGTCCCAAGATCAATATTACAGTCTTTAGGTCATTTCAGACTTTTTTTGTTATATCGTGAAGGTCAGTGTCCAGATACATTTCTAAACTATGGCGACAACATGAAGGATTCGTTTTATAGTTTTCCCCCCTTTTTTCTATTTCCCATTATAACCAGGTTTTTATATTTGTTTGTTTACATTTTATCTTGTATTAGACTGTGAAAGAAAGGTCTTTCATACATTTCTGAATCAGCAGCAAGACTGGTTTTTGAAACCTGAGTATGGCACATTCTTTATTTTTCCTTTCCTCTTTTGCTTTACTTGTGCTATGGGGCTACAAAATATGTTTACTTGCATAGCTTAAAAAAAAAAGTACTTCTAATAATGCCTTTTTAATTCCTCTTTGGGATATCCTTTGTAAACACAGGGGCCTACATTGTCATATTTATGAATAAAATCAAAGAGCAAATCTTAGTTGAGTTGAAGGTTACTTAAAGAAGGTAGATTAAAGAAATGTTTAATAAATAGCCTATATTTATTTTATTTTTTCCCCAAATCACCCAGAGGTTACATCAGTTATACTAGTAGACTGCATATAACTGATATTGATGAGACCTACTTCTATGATAACTTATAAAATCCTATGACTAACCCTCACCCAGATAATCCACTTTTATAAAATGTTGTAGTAAAATAATTAATATATGAAATTAATTCAAAGAGAGACATGTAAACTGAGAGATCTTGAAACTGACTTGGTAGTTCACTTACAGGATAAGTGTAGGCACTGGTGAAATTGTAGAATTGGGGTTGTGGCCCTGACAGGTAATAACTAACACTGGGTATTTACACCTGCTTGGAATTTTCTATAGTAATTGTAATACTGTACATGGTGTTTTTAAAAGCCATATTTGACTTTAATTAGAAGTACTTAAAAGCATAGCATTTTTTTTTCTTTTTGGAAGCCTGGTAAAGATTTCCAGGGGACATGTGGGATATTCCTAAATAGAAAGCAGTATAGTACTTGTGATTCAGGAGTAATTTTTTCAGCCAGGATTATAATCAAATCCTTGATCAATTGAAGTCTTTCAGAACCAGAATTTCATTCTATCCCAATGTTATCTCTCATTAGAAATAAGTGGTAGCAGTATGCCTCCATATAGAGTAAAATATATAGAGTAAAAAAACTCCATATAGAGTGCACACAGTGCAGCTTCCAACACTTCCTGATAAGCAGCCCTGTTGTGCCACTTATAACTTTCAGAAGCATCTGATGCAGGAGAGCTGCTGTGAGAAAACCTATGAAAAATCCCAGTGTCTTGTTTGCAAGCAGTTTGCACACATCTTAAGAGGTTCCTAGAGTGGCACAGCAGTTAATCTTTGTGAAACTATTTTGTCTTTGGTTAAAGAAAAAGTAAGTGTTGGTACATGATCCAGAAGAGTTTGCCTCTGGATTTTCAGTTGCATTGTGAAAAAGCAACAAAACTTGCTTTCCACTGAACAGAATACATATGCCTTGGTGAATAAAAGGCCAGCAATGACAGCCAAGAAGAAACATGTCTCTCCTGCAGTTTACACTTTATAAGGGTTGTCCTCAGTCATCCCTTGATACAGGGCTCTTTTTGAAAAAAAAGCCCAGCAGGAACTCATTAGCATAATAGGCCACACCCAACAGCAGGAACTCATTAGCATATTGGGCCACACCCCTGACAGCACAGCTCATTAGCACATTAGGCCGCACCCACATGTTACCAGAAGTGTGGTTATCCAGCCACATCCACCTTTTGCTTGTTATTCTGTTTACCTTCTTTGCTGTCAAAACCCAGGGCCTTTTTTTGTAGCAGGAACTCCTTTGCATGTTAGGCCACACACCCCTAATGTAGCCAATCCTAATTAGTTTCTGCTGTTGGGTGTGGCCTATTATGCTAATGAGTTAATGCTGGGCGTGGCCAACTGGGGAGCCAGCTGGAACTCCGTTCCTGTGCGTTCCTGCCCCAAAATAGCCCTGCCTTGATACATTGGGTTGTTATTAAGTATGACATGTCATTTCATCTTGCACCTTCATCTTAAGCACACTTATTTGGAAGTTGAGGCCCCATACATTGCTGCTGCTAGCTCAGCACACTTACTTGAAAGTAAGTTCTTTTTTAATGAACAGTTGCAGTGGCTCTTCTTAAGTACTATATCATTATTAAGGACTTGTTTACATGTAAGAATGTTTTTATAGACCTGGTATGTTAGGGAACAACAGGTTATATTCCATATTGTTTTTATTTAATGTCATCTATTTCTTCTAACTGTAAGTTAACTTCTTTATGATCCACTTGGCACATTGTGTCTATATACTTCATTCAGTTTTTTGCACATCAAGCAATTGCTCAGGGGGGGAAGCCAGGACTTTGAATTGGCTACTGCATACCAAATGTGACTCATCCTGATAGAAATTGCAAAGGTTTCAAAGGTCCAAGCCTCATCCAAATTAAAATAAAATCTTTCAAATTTACAAATGCAGATCAAAATTTTGTCTGCATTTTATACTCAACCCATGTTTATATAAGTTTGTTTATCAACTGGCTATAAAACAAGCTCCTGACTTGTGATAGTTTTTTCCCCAAAACAGGCTTGCCAGTTACAGAAATAGTAGTAGAAAAGTCACGCACATTATTCACAGTAGTACACAGCTATGGTTAACTAGACAGTAGGAAACTATATGCCATGATCTTCATATTAATGGGTAGCTGAAAAGTGCAGAAAGGAGTGCGTGTTGAACTGCCTAATATAAACAGCTGCCTCCTATACATATACCAAATAATTTTGGCAGATGTGAACAGGATAAAGGCTGTCATTGATTAGACTGGTCATTTTTACTGCCAGTTAAAATGTGTCATAAGAGTTGGAATAACTATCAACCTTATTTAATCAAATGTGGTGAGAATAATCAGAATTTCAGTTCTGTAGAAAGCCATTTTTAAAACAATGCTTTCTGGAATGTATATACAAGTGTGAACTTTTATTAATTTTTGGTACTGCACATCATTTGGGCTACTAAATTTAGGCATCATCCGAAAAGCACAACCACTGGAGATACAGTTTTCCAAACTAAATGTGGATTCTTCCCGAGGCTGATACATGTGCAAAGGTATCCTGAAATAAATGGAAGTATTGTTTACTTTGACCCATAGCAACTTGACTGTTCTAATGCATGAGCTTTGGATAATGGAGTTTCAAATAATGGAAGTTTTACTGTGACTGTTAAGTATTCGTTACTGAAATTTGACTTGAACTTAGCAGATGTTGTTAATGCTGTTGTTCACCAATGAAGGAAGGTTGCTTTGTTGAATCATATTTTAATGACAGTTTGTGTCTCTTAAGCGCTTTCTTTCTATAATCTTATTCCAATCTTTTATGTTGCCTTTAGTTCATTTCAACATTCCAGTGAAACGCCCACTCATTGGCTGAACCTTTCCTGTTGTAAGATGATTGCTTGGTTTACTACCATTTTCTGAGCATGGCGCCTAATCTCTCTGCCAGTGACTTTAAAGACCATGTTGAGCGCTCTCTCTCTCTCTCTCTCTCTCTCTCTCTCTCTCTCTGCGTGTGTGTGTGTGTGTGTGTGCCTGGGATGCTCAAAAGATAAGAGTTTGCACGATTGTCTTAAACTGATTTGTAGTTTATGACTAAATATTACTTATTTATCGGAAAAGGAATCATAATTTCTCTTATCTCCTGCATGCATTTCAAATTATTTATAACCTCAGATCTTATAAATAGATCTTAGCTAATTCTTTTTTCCCTTTTATAATTGCAATGGTGTGATGAGCCGAGAATGTAATAGTGCATCTAGATCATACATAACCACTTATCAGGAAGTAAATATTTTTTTAAAATGTAGCGATTTTTCTATCTTGACAAAAATCCCTGGATGATAAATACATTAGGATTATATGATCATTTTCATTGGACAAAAGTGACTTTTAAAAGATAAAATTAAGCATTAAATCTGTGTCATAAAATATGGGATTGCTTCTTTTCCAAGAGTAAACTGAAACTGTTGGATAATTTTAAGGTCATGAACAAATTTTGCTCCATTGAAAATGGGCATACTGAACCTGTAATAAGTTTTGCTTTGGATGCTGGTATATTGCTGTAATACCAGCATAATATCCTACAGAGTTACATTAGTGTTGCTGTAGAAACATTCAGTCCTAGCCACTTATGTGCTAGTGCAATATATGTTGTGATAAGGATTCAAAAGAAGCAAGAAATTCCACCTACTTTTATTGATTGGGAAGTCTGATCATATCTCCCACCCAGACTGGCTTACTATCAGCCAGAAATAGCATAAAAGTCTTGGCAAATGAACAGAGCCTACCATACATCTTACCATGCTCTAGTCCCAGTCTTATTTGACACCCAGTCCTATAAAATGCTATGCTAGCTCATAGAAACAAGACATAAGACTGTAATAATCAAACACTTCCGGTATGCAAATGCATTAACCTTATTCATTTGGACAATAAGCCATTAAAAACTTCTGCTTTAAAAAGTACTATTCACTGCTAGGGCTCATAGAGTTAATGCATTTCTAGGAATACAGAAGCACTCCTCTGTCCTAGTTGTGTGCCGGATACAGTTAGTTTGACAGCAATTGCCATGCAACAAAGAGTAGGGTGGTCATGTTTTAGCAGCAACGCAAAGGGCCAAGCTAACCCCCCCCCACCCCCAACTTCAGAAGCACAGCCAATGATGCCGAACTCTAATGTGGCCCATTGTTGTTGGCACAAGCACATGCCAGGCAGTTAGAGTGATTATCACCAGTGATGAGCAACGTATTCAACAATTCCTCTATGTCTGGTCTTGTTCCAGAAGTTTTAGAGAGGCCAAATGTTTAGCCACTCATGCATTTCTTAAAAAAAACACACACACACTTCTAGTGCTGCTTTAGCCACTCATGCATTTCTTAAAAAAAAACACACACACACTTCTAGTAGTGCTGGTCCAATACTCTGTCTTTTCTTAAAGGGAGCCCTCTTCATCCTCTGCACTGGAATGTACATCATCAGTGGGTCAATCTTTTTAATAAAAAAAAGCAGAATAGTTTGTTGTACTGCTATAAAATGATCCTTTGCTCGTAGGGTTGCCAGCCTCCAGGTAGCGGCTGGAGATCTGCTATTACAACTGATCTCCAGGCGACTGAGAGATGTCACCTGAGAAAATGGTCACTTTGGACGTTGGACTCTATGGCACTATGCCCCAAACCCCGCCCTCCTGAGGTCCCACCCCTGGAATCTCCAGGTATTTCCCAACACAGAACTGGCAACCCTATTTGCTCAACAATCACAACCCACGGTTACAAGAACAGGCCTAGTTTGACTTTGGCCTAAAAGAAAGAAGCTTTTCAGAGAAATTGATTAAGTGTGAAATTCCCTCCGGCCCCTTACACTTAACCCTATTTGCTCAACAATCACAACCCACTGTTACAAGAACAGGCCTAGTTTGACTGTAGGCCTAAAAGAAAGAAGCTGTTCAGAGAAATCGATTAAGTGTGAAATTCCCTCCAGCCCCTTACACTTTATGCATCACTTTGCAGGTTATGTTGTTAAAGACTCTGCAGATCATTGAACTATCTGGAACACTGAAGGTCTTGATCAAGAAAGCAATACCTAGCAACATTAGTTACATTCTAAAATGTTAGTGAAACCTGGAGTCGAAAAAGAAAAGGTTAGGAAGGGTGTAAGGTTTTCTAACAGAGTGATGTTCTTGTTTGCTGTGACTAAACACTCTGCATGTTTGATCAGGATTAGATTTTTTGCAGCAACAATCTCTGCTGTGCTCTTTTCGTTTCTTTTCCAGATTCTTCATCTCTTAAACAATGCCAGCAAGGATTCTGTCCTTCTCTCCTCAGTTATTTCAGTTTTGATGTTTGCTTCTTTAACTTGAGAGTTTTTGTTAGTTTTTTAAAATATATTTTTAAATGTCACATGGAAATCTGTATTTTGCACTCAGCGATGTTTAATTTCCTCATTTGGCTGTAAGAAAAATAAATGTAGTTCCCTGTCAACATTGCATCCTCTCTTCCTTTAAAACCAGAAACTGGTTTAACTTTTCTCAAGCTTTTCTATTGGCTAGTTTCTCATGATTATATTCACTTTTTCTTAACCTATGACACGTTTGTTTTAAAAATGTTGCTACATAGTAACATTCTTGAACATTGCTGACAGAGCTGTCAGGGTTGCGCACAGTCTTTCCCCAGTAGAACGTTTGCATTTCATCTTTATTTGTAGTAGTTTCCCATATGTTCTAGATCTTGAAAAATTATCCAGAAGTCACTAAGGTTCTTTTGATAAATACACGTTTTTAAAAGGGGGGGGGAATCAATACAAAATATTTTTAGTGCTTTGACTGCACTCTGAAAAAGTTTACACTGGCTGCGGTCACACAGAGCATTAGCCACGCTACAGAGACAGAAGATAGGCGGATTTTCCGGGCGCGATCACACCGCCACATCTGGGAAGCGTAGAGCTTCCGTGGCTCACCCGAGGCTTCCCGCCGAAGATCCGGGGCAAAAAACTAGTACCTCCGAGGTACTAGTTTCCGGAAACCGCGGAGCAAGGGCGGGCGTCTGATCACGTTTCCGGTGGCATCCGGCGCCCACCCATGTCCCCTCGCAAACAGGTCATTTTTTCCCCAAGTCTCCACGGATGCGCACAAGCACCCAACGGAGCATGCGCACACTTCAGTATAAAAAAGTAAAAAAACCCCAACAACCCCGTTTGCCGCGCCACCCCGCTTCTTTGCCTGTCGTGTGATCAGCACCTCCCCCCTAGCCACGGGACCTCGACGGGACCTCAACCGGACGTCTGATTGCGCAGTCACGCGTTAGTTTGCCCCAGGGCAAACAGCCACGCTTCCACCCCGCATTTTCGCATTTTCCAGCCCGTGTGACCTGATTGTATTCTGGGATATATTTCTATTGCCCACCAAATTCCAATGTATTTTGGGGTAGAAAAGGGACTCCCGATGGTGTGTGTTTCTGGTGCCAGAAAGACATTGTTTTCATGCTCCTGGTGTTTAGCCATTGTAAAATGCACACTTTCACATGAGACAAAAATAATTTTATTAATACAAAAACTTGTAAGGTATGTTGTTGGTCTGGAGTATCTTCCTCTGTGGTGAGGAAGATGTTTTTCAGATTAACACAAGAGGTTGTATTGGAGCATTGTTTTCTGAGGAGGAAAAGCTCATGAGGAAATTTTTTTTTACCCTGAACACATTTAATAGGCTGGGGTTAATAAATACCCCAAAATCAATATCATATTTTGGGGATTGTTTTGTACCACAGTGTGAGTGTCTATCACACCGTCAGCATTAGGTGGTACCAACACAACGTCCCTCTTGGAGGACTCAATAGGCCTCAGGCCTCAGGCTAGAGAGAGGAAGGGGATTAACCCTTTCCTAGGCTTTCCTCCTTTCTTTCTACTGCCCTCCCCGGTAGTCAGCTGGCAACGGGCTAACCTCTCCTCCGAGGCCTGAGTCCCTGACCCTGTTGAGGGAGACTTGTTGATGTATGCCCCATTCCTTTTACTGCGTCCTGAGGGTTGCCCCACCACACTGTTGGTTAGCTGGCAGGAGCTATTGCTAGTTGGGTGTGACGCTGCCAGGCCAGTTTCCAGCCTTGGCCTCCACCTCATTTAAATGGCTGCCCCGCCTCCACCCAGCCAGCTGGTGCTGGTACAGTAAGGCTTAGGGCCACCCCACATGGCAGCTGTTCCTCTTTCACCTGACCCTGCTGGGTGGGGCATGCCACCGGCTGATGAGAGGCTCCGCTTCAAATGGGCCTACCGCCTGGAGTGTGGACTGCCCTGCTGTGTTGATTGACCAGAGTGGGGCTGGATTCTGCTGTGTGCGGGCCGTTCTCAGGTGGGCTGCTCCAGGTGGCCCAGTTCTCTTCCTGTCTGGTAAGTACAGGGGTGCTGAGCCTACCCCCAGACACAACACGAGCTTTTCTGTCTACAGAAAGAAAACTGTAAGTGGCTATATTTTGGGGGATATCGTTTACTAATGTGGGTAACAATGTTGTTAGATGAAAAAGTTTTAGAGCTGCTTCTCTGCCCAAAAAAAATGCAACTGGGTAGGAACTTATCCCAGACCGTGAAACCAGTGTTAAAAACGGGTGTCTTTTAACTTGAATTGAGATCCTGGCTTGGGCAACGTGGGTATCCTTAACAATAGGGACAAACAAGTGGGGACCTGCGATACTTGCAGGGGGGGATCCCTACGCCCATCACTGCTAATTCCCTCCTCAGGGCTCAGTGGAGGGGCCGGGAGACTCATGGCAGGGGAATCCCATACCTCCCCATCACTCAGGCTGGCGGTGCACCAGGCCCCACCACCTACCACTCAGCCTGCAGTGGCTGCCAGCATTCTTTGCTCCTGTACCTGGGCCCACAGCGGTTGCCAGCATCTGCCACTGCTGTGCCTGGGCCCACAGCGGCATCTGGCATCCTCTGCTTCTGCTTAGGTCTTCAGCGGCATTCCAGTTACTGCCATACCTGGGCCAGGAATGGTGGCTGGCAGCAGATGGCAGCCAACAGCAGCTAGGGTTGCCAGGTGCCTTCCTCCTGGCAGCGGGGGGATTTGGGAGGTGTTCAAGGGGTGGGTGGCGACACCAGCAATATGATAACATCGGAATCATAATCATGTCAACGATGTTGGGGTGACACTCTACTTTTGGGGCAAAACTCGATGGAAAAAATTGATACAAGCCATAGAGTTTTGTCCAAAAAGTAGAGTGTTGTCGTTGATGCAACTACGTCACTTCTGGAAGTGATGTCATTGTGTTGCTGATGTAGCACAAAGATGTCTGGTGGCAGGGTTACGCCCACCAGCTGGCCATAGTGGAGGAGGATGTCAGCTGCCACTCTAGACCCAGAGAAGCTGCCACCATCCTCCTCCTCCACACCCAGGTCTGCAGTGGTTGCCAGTGTTGATGCAGAGTTGGAATGGCTCCCGACAACACAATTCTATTTTGGGGGAATTTAAACCCCCTTTTAAAAAAGTTAATTTCAGATTTTCCTGCAAATTTGGGTTATTTTCTGCAAATTCTGCAAGTTTGAAGAAAGATCTGATTAGTGTCCATGTGGCCCCAATCTGCAGATTTACATATCCGCAGATGGGGGCACGGGTATAACGCTGAAGCATGAGGGAAGTTTGCACTCCATAATAGAGGAGCTGGAAGGCTGGTGTATACAATGATGCAGTTTGCTGTGTATTTGTTAATCATAGTCAAGCAAACTACAGTGTTGTGTGCACCATCCCAGAGATGTAGATGACAGTGAACATGGCGCCTCTTTTTGTTGTGGGCTCTTCATGATAACACCCATTTGCAGGTTAGGCTTAACAGGAAAGGAAATCTATCGGACCCTATTAACACCTATAGGGGAGTTAGGCAGGGTTGCGTACTAGCCCCTTCCCTGTTTAATCTATATATTAATGATATAGTAAGTTACTTGGACTCCCCCAGTTTACATCCACCAAAATTTCAACAACAGCATGTGTTTATCTTACTGTATGCCGATGATGCTGTCATCTTAGCTAGAACACCAGTTGGTCTTAGAAGAGCTCTCAGTAAATTTGCAGACTTTTGTAACAATAATGAACTAACAATAAATTTTCAAAATTTATTCGGGGCCAGACAAAAGAAAAGAATCTGGTCTGTAAATGCTGGGTGGGGCATGCCACCGGCTGATGAGAGGCTCCGCTTCAAATGGGCCTACCGCCTGGAGTGTGGACTGCCCTGCTGTGTTGATTGACCAGAGTGGGGCTGGATTCTGCTGTGTGCGGGCCGTTCTCAGGTGGGCTGCTCCAGGTGGCCCAGTTCTCTTCCTGTCTGGTAAGTACAGGGGTGCGGAGCCTACCCCCAGACACAACATGAGCTTTTCTGTGTACGGAAAGAAAACTGTAAGTGGCTATATTTTGGGGGATATCGTTTACTAATGTGGGTAACAATGTTGTTAGATGAAAAAGTTTTAGAGCTGCTTCTCTGCCCAAAAAAAATGCAACTGGGTAGGAACTTATCCCAGACCGTGAAACCAGTGTTAAAAACGGGTGTCTTTTAACTTGAATTGAGATCCTGGCTTGGGCAACGTGGGTATCCTTAACAATAGGGACAAACAAGTGGGGACCTGCGATACTTGCAGGGGGGGATCCCTACGCCCATCACTGCTAATTCCCTCCTCAGGGCTCAGTGGAGGGGCCGGGAGACTCATGGCAGGGGAATCCCATACCTCCCCATCACTCAGGCTGGCGGTGCACCAGGCCCCACCACCTACCACTCAGCCTGCAGTGGCTGCCAGCATTCTTTGCTCCTGTACCTGGGCCCACAGGGGTTGCCAGCATCTGCCACTGCTGTGCCTGGGCCCACAGCGGCATCTGGCATCCTCTGCTTCTGCTTAGGTCTTCAGCGGCATTCCAGTTACTGCCATACCTGGGCCAGGAATGGTGGCTGGCAGCAGATGGCAGCCAACAGCAGCTAGGGTTGCCAGGTGCCTTCCTCCTGGCAGCGGGGGGATTTGGGAGGTGTTCAAGGGGTGGGTGGCGACACCAGCAATATGATAACATCGGAATCATAATCATGTCAACGATGTTGGGGTGACACTCTACTTTTGGGGTAAAACTCGATGGAAAAAATGGATACAAAGCATAGAGTTTTGTCCAAAAAGTAGAGTGTTGTCGTTGATGCAACTACGTCACTTCTGGAAGTGATGTCATTGTGTTGCTGATGTAGCACAAAGATGTCTGGTGGCAGGGTTACGCCCACCAGCTGGCCATAGTGGAGGAGGATGTCAGCTGCCACTCTAGACCCAGAGAAGCTGCCACCATCCTCCTCCTCCACACCCAGGTCTGCAGTGGTTGCCAGTGTTGATGCAGAGTTGGAATGGCTCCCGACAACACAATTCTATTTTGGGGGGATTTAAACCCCTTTTAAAAAACGTTAATTTCAGATTTTTCTGCTGAAGAAAGATCTGATTAGTGTCCACGTGGCCCCAATC